ACTTGTGACCTTGTGTCTGTTTTAAACAATAAATAAAAATAAATGAAAGGGGAATAGCAAACATTTAGGGACTTGCTGAATGCCTGTTGAGGTCAATGAGAAACTTTCTGCTGACTTGAGCGAGCAGGTTATTCATGGAGAACAGTCTAAAAAATCATCAGTGTGAACAATGTGACAAGACTTGGTTTTTGTTTTCAAGCTTTCTAATAAAGCGTGGATAGGCATGTTTTTGTGTAAGTGCAGAATGGATGAATAAATAACAGTCCTGTGCAGCACAAGAGCAGGGTGAGATGGAGAACTGAATGTACTTGCATAAAAGTATCTACAAATACATAAACACAAGGAAAGATCATGTGGCTTGTGGTGCTAAGACCCCCCTGTATGGATTTGGTTGCAGAGTGCATACACTGGCGGCTGCTGTAAGAAAATTCTGCTTTTAGACTGTATGTATCGATAGCAGCCAGTGGTGTCTGGAAGTTAGAATACAGATTAAATACAAAAACCCTACCCTTGCATTTTACTGCTGAAATTTATGTGGCTGTTTACTGTGCTTGGCTGCAACCTGATACACCCCATAGCTATAGCAGCGTGTCACGGTTGTTGGAAGTTGCAGCCTTAGTGCAGTAGGTCCCATTTATTTTGTCAATAAGCCTGTGACACGGGAGGGTTTGTATGATTTGTTGCCTGCTGAAACAATTATTTACATTTGAATAGAAGTCCAGATTGCGTATTTTTTATATGAATGACTGCTTTATTGGTTCATTAATCCCAAACTGTAGCAGTCTCTCATTTGTATTTCTGTAATAACCCCCAAACCGTTACAGTTCATATTTGGAAAGGCTCACAAGCTTTTAAGTCAGTAATCTGCATGTTAAGGAGTCTCTGGTTTTAGTGTTGTCTCCTTGCAATGAGCATCTATAGGAGACACTCCTGTTTGTATATGTTTCCTCTGCCACTAGGACCCGTGCGTGTATTTAGGTAAATTGCCTCTTTGGTGCTGCAATGGTGAGTGTGAAATGTCTTTATGGAGGAGACATGCAGAGGAAAATTTGTTTGCCTTCCTCTCTCTTCCTCCTAGATATTTTGGGTAAGATGCATTGTTGTGAGAGAAAAATTTTGTTAAAAAAAAAAAGAGTCCTATTAGCCCATCAGCAGTCTCTTTCACAGCTGGTGTAAAGTGCTGGTGGTTTGACTTGCAGGCATGAAGGAAATGATCAGAGGCAGGCAAGAGCAGCTCTGGCTGTCGCTGCTGGGGCTTCCCACCACGGCACAGACCTGTTGAAAGTTTCTCTCCAAAGATTGCGATACTCTAAGTTTGTCGTCACAGCATGAAGGGCACTCAAATTGCCTTGTCTCTCCCTCATAGTTTGTTCTGGATTGGTGTGTGCCTACATATGTACATACATACCTGTGTATATATGTGTACGTTTGCGTGGGGAGATGGGTGGGAGTATTTTTCCAGTGTTTGCGTTGCCTGTACTGGAACACTGTCCAGCTGTACCGCCCATCTCTGCTCTCATTTTGATGTTACTGGGAAGAAAAAGAAAATCTGGCATTGCCAGTTCTTGCAGGGTTATGATTAATCTTGAGGTGCTCTTCCAAAAGCCTGAGCCTCTAATCAGCGTAATGTGCTGGAATTGATCCTCCTTCCCACTTTCCTATCCTAGGAAGGGTCACAGTTTTCCTTTATAGTGTTCCCTTATAGTGGGAAAAGCTCAAGGACTGCATGTATGCGGTAGCTCTGGTCTCTGAAGGTCTCTCTCTAGGGGACACCAATAGGTGGGATGCCTCTGGACCTGCGTTTTTGGATAGAGAATCTCAAAACACACAAACCCTCTGGAATAAAAATAATCCTCTAGTCTTCTGTTTCCATAACTCAATTTTAAAAAAATTTTTTTTAAACAAAAACCTGAGTTTTGGGGACCTGGCTGAAGTTTTTGAACATTTGGGGATGATGACAGGGGAAATGCACAGTTAACATGAATTTCTGTTCGCTGAATGACAGGAACAGCCAGGCAACCCTTGCTCATAGCTTTCCCTGGCCCCGCGGTGGCCTCTTCCAGCGAGTGCCCTCTCCTCCTCCAGCACCCATCTCCTGTGGCTGCCCATGAGCACAGGGAGGCTGCCCAGCTAACGAGGATGGGTTGGTCCCAGTGACAGGAGAACTTGGTGCTCCCTGGGGCGAGGGCAGCCTCCTCCAGATAAGCCCGTTCGCTGGGGCGGCTTTACTTTAATGTGCCTTAAGGCACTGAACAGGCAGGTGAAGGTCGTGTGGTCTGGATCTTCTGCGGTTGTGCAACCTTTTCTTGTGCTTGTGCCCTGCCACCAGGCACGCTCTGTGTGGCAATTGGCTAGGAAGGTGTGTTGGGTGAGGAAAACGTGTCCCTCATATTGAAATAAACTCATACTCTGCTTTCACAGTTTATTTTTAACACAGTACCTTTGGCTGCACCTCAGCATTTTTTCAGTGGTTAGAGATGGTTATCTTATCAAAAGTTTCCCTGCTGGGATGTATTCATGTAGTTGACGCTGTTTTCCTTTTAAAGTACATGAGCTGGCTTCAAGTTGGGTTTGTTTGGGATTTTTTCTGCTCCATGCACAGATTGCAATAAATTGTTTTCATGATGTATTAGTAACCTGCTGGGAAGTGAGATGCCTGGATTAGGTGATTTACTTATTGCCATTAAGTAATGTAGAAAGTCAGAACCCGTAAACCTGAATGTGCTGGGGCACATATTCATAATCCAAACATATCGTTCATAGCCGGGAATGATTTGTCAATCTGGCTGCTTCTTTTTTTTTCTTTTTTTCCTTTCTTTTTTTTTTCTTCTCCCCCCACCCCTCCCCCGTGTTGCCTGGAGACTTTTATGCCTCCTGCGATTAGGTTACCTGGAACAGCGACATAGCCCTGGCTCTCCTCCAGGCTGATGGAGAAGGAAGCGTGCTCGGTGCAGCTCGGTGCCCTTCGCTGCAGGGGCGGGCGTTTAGGGACCTGTGGCCATGTCGAGTGAGAAGCGCCCAAGCAGCAGGCTGGATGGTGCCCGGGGGGCAGTGGTGACAGCCAAAAGCGAGCCCTTCCCATGCCTTCAGCAGGGCAGGAATGGACGTTTCCCACGTGGGAACAAGTTGCTGCTGCCTAACAGGAGACAACGTTTGGGTTTTGAGAGACCCACGTGTCAGCGTGGGTGAGGACTTTTCTCTTAGGTCTGGCTACTAATGTAGTATAGTTAATCAACTTTTAACGTTTTCAAAGCACGGCACAACTAGTCAGTAATGACACGGACATCTTGTCCCCAGCCATTCTGCGGATTTCAACGCTGGCTTTCCTTTTTGCTCTGAAGAGGCTGAATTCCCGAGGCTTTACCAGCTATGCAGGTGTGGGATTTGCTATGTGAAAACAATCCTGTCTTGAGCTTGGTTTTTTATTTACTTGAAGTAGCTTTCCCACTGGAGAAGTTGCTTAAAACCTCAAAAGCTGATTGTTGCCTTCTGCTTACTTCAGGCCACTAGTAGCCAGCCAGCTCTTGAGGTGTTTGCTCTTTCTGTAGCTGATGTATTAGGGCCCTTTATCTTCCTTTGCAGGGTAAATCTTTGCGTGGAAAAATAGACAATCACAGCAGCAGTAATGAAGAAATAGATATATAACAGATATATGTGAAGAGGAATGTAACTCTTCTTTATCTCATAAAATGCCTGGTGGAGAAAACGGGATTCTTTGTGAAGATACTCTATGATTTTACCAATGGCTGGAATCCTGTTTTCTTAATTGCAATGAAATAAAGTTTGCAATTAACAGTTTTAGAGTGTTGCTGTTTAACAGTTCTTAAGGTGTTTCACTTGCCTTTCATATTGATGCTTTGAGATTTTACACAGATAGACACATACACACACATACACACATGTATACTTCGTAGAGCAGGAGTTAATTCTTGATTCTCCCTTATGAGTTTTCTTTTTCAGGTTGTATGGGTTAAATTTTTAGGGAATCGCTTGTTGTAGTTCTCTGTTGTCCAGACTGCCTCTTACAATCTCTTCCCTCTTTGAGCCTCTTTTCACATCGATTCTTGGGCCTCTTGTAGGAGGAGCAACCTATTCCCCTTTTCCTGAAATGTTTCATTTTAAATTCTGCCAAAGAACGATCAAGCGGGGCTCAGTTACAAGTAACTATTGTTTTCCTCTTGTAATTTCACTTGGATTTTTGGAACCCGTTCGTTGGGGAGATTCTATTTAAAAAAAAAGATTTTACTGTCAAATTTCAATTGGTTTTTTTTCCTTCTAAAACCATAGATCATGTATCCATCTCACTAATTAGCTTTTCTGTCCTTCTGTTTATTAGGGTACTGTCCGTGATTACATTATAGATTGAATTACTCATGACTATTTTAAACTCTTACTTTCATGCGGATTAGAGCTTGGTAATGTTTAAAAATAAGTATTGTATAAAAAAACCTGACAGATCTTTGGCAAAATCAGGTTGGTTGTCATACACATGAAGTCACTTGGAGTGACTGCAAGTCTTCCGTTCCTTTTAAGGGGAGCGTCCATCATACATAACAGTCCAGTAATTCTTATTTCTATCGCAAAGATGGTACCCATTACAATATATGAATTAGCCCACTATTGCACTAGAGTGGAACTGAAAGCGGTTGATGGTTCTGTGCTCCCCAGGGACAGAAACAAAAGGGTCATGATTTCTCTTTAGGCATGGACACAAAGCTGGATCTGAATTTGTAAGGAAGTGTCCTTACATGAATATAATATCCCCTTTGTAGAGTATCATTGGGATAAACTGAAATGTTGCAGAAATGGGAGGAGGAGTTTTCGGCATACACAAAACTGAGGTAAAGCCTTTGATACACTAATATATGCCAATTGCTGCTATTGCAGACTTCAGAGAGAGAAGTATGAACAGAAGAACGAGGAAAAGAGGATAAAATTCTGATCAACAACCATGCATAAAAATTCACCTTAAGGTATTATTATTTTCTTCTCATTCATAGCATGGCCGGACCCCCCTGCATCTTGCTGCCCACAAGGGTCATCTCCATGTTGTCCAGGTTTTGTTGAAGGCAGGCTGTGACCTGGATATTCAAGATGACGTAAGTAGATACAACCTTCTTGCTTGGGGTGGAGGGGAGAAGGTAATTTGCAAATAAGAGTAGACCTTCACTTCTTTGAAGTAGGATTAAATGAAAACAAAATCTTTCTCTGTATTTTCTAATTTGGAGACGCAAAACTGCATGGGAGACAAAGTAAAATGTGGTGGTTTTCAATGAATAGCTTGGTCCTCGTGCTCAAGAGCTCTTTATAAGAGCTCTGGTTGCGCCAGGCTGGTCTGAGTAGCAGTGAGAGTCATCGTCTGCCTTTTGGTGTAGAAATGAAGTAAGAGCTTGTTGTACCACATAGGAACCCACTGGAGGGTGTCAGGTAGGGGACATGATCCATTGCGATGTTTGCCTGAAGTGGGAGATGCTTTTTGTGTAGATGCATGCCACAGCATATAGAGTATCGAGCAGCTGCCTGGAGCACTCTGTGGCATTGCAGGGAAATTGTCCCGTTGGCAGCCGTGCTTGATGTGGGGGTGGTCGCATCTGTGAGGCTGTCATGTGGTGAAGCATCAGCACAACGAAACCAGCTTTGAATTGAATGGTAGTTTGTTTTCATTTGGTAAAATATGTAAGTTATTGGAATTCCTCGTTTTTCCATAAGAACAGTTCTAATCTTGGACCAGGCTTTAAGGCACATTGGAGTGACCGGTAACATGGTTTTAGTTACCTCACTCTGATGAACAAAGGTGTAGGCTGAAATGTCCAACAGCAGTTGAATAACCATGACTTCTTCAGATTCGTTGCTAACTTCTGATAGCATGCTGGAACAAGTTTGAGGAGGGGTTGCCTTTGTTCCCCCTGTAATAAATAAGATGTAGATTCTTCAAAGGACCTAGAGGTCCAAAGGTGGTTAGTAGAGCAACCTGTATGACTATTAAAAGGACACTGGAAATGTCTGGGTGCCTTTCAAAAATTCCCTTAGGCATTTGTTTGCATCTCGAGAGTCTTAAATATCTATAGAAATCGGAAAACTGGTTTTCTTCTCTGCGTGAGTAGCTGCTTCCCTGTGAGACGTGAGCAGTCTGTCTGACAAGCTTAGGACTGGGGTACTGGTGCAGCCAGCTTTCTACTGGGAAACTTGTTTTTCTAGGAAGAAACTTTGCTTCCTGCGCTCTTTTTTCATATCTGTGAAATGGAGCAGATTTGCAAGTGTAATGGGAGTATCAGTTTATTCAGATGTATCCTGAGTATGTTTTTTGACTTCTCCCAGCAGAAATCATTCATCAGGTATTTAAGACAAAATTGCAGGTACTTTACAAGTACAGTCAGTTTTCCTGAGAAAAGTGAGTTGCTGCTCTAAGAATGCAAGAACTTCCACTGATGTGGTCAAATTGGGTTTCTGTGAAAATTGTTTTTTGAGTAAGTCTGTCTTTTTTTTAATCCTCTGGGAATAAAATCTAGGCTGTTTGTATGTAAATGTGATACCCATAATGGAAAAAAAGTAAATCAGTGTTTAGCATCATTGAAGTTTAGCAAAGAGTCTTGCACTGTAGAAATACTCAGCTCATAGAAGACCTATTTCACGTGCCTTGCAAGCTTTTCAGGGGCTTTGTTCACGACAACTGGATACCGCTTCTGAATGTGGTGACTAATCTGAACAGAATAGATGCATGCATGATTCACAGATGCTGTTTCTTTAAAATGTATTTTGATTTTAGCTCTGTATTTAGTACTAGTAATTTGGTTGGGGGAGCCTCAGGAGTTGCTGAGTCTCAGAGGGTGTGTTTGGATTTGTCTCAGAGGAGGAGGAAGGCTAAAACTCCCAAGTGAAGTTTTTTGCTTGTGAAAGGTATTAACTGAAATATTTCTGCTTTCCTTTTACATAGGTCTTCAAAGAAGGTTCTTTATTTATGGTTTCTCCTTGTATAATTCATTTGTACACTTTATTTATGCCCCACAGAATATGTTCTTGTTCTCTTTTAGTTGCAATCTATTGATTATGCCTTCGGTCACTTTTACTGTGTGCTTATTTGGCAGTGAAGGCATCTTAGTTTCAAGTGTTGATTAACATCTGTACGTTTCATTGCTGTTTTTCAGGAATACAGATTTAGGTTCAGAGATGAAATCGCTCATGAGATTGGGGAGCATCATATTTAATTGAAAAGTAAATTACTTAGTTGATTTTTGTCTGTGGCATTGTTGTGATAACACAAAAAATTTCCAGGTTCTAAAAAGATTATCTATATTTTATTTTTCTAAATAACAAGAGAAACCTAAACACATCTGATTTTGGAGTTGACTCTCTTTAGCTAATGAACAAATGCAAGACTAACTTTTCATCTGCCACATGATAAGCAGAAACTTAAAAGTTGCTAAATGTTGCGGAGAGATTAAAACACTCGCTTCATGTTCTACAGATACATTCTTTAAAACACAGTAAGAGCCGTAAGAATTAGTTGAAGAATGACCTCCAGTGGCCTGGAGTGGGATTATTATGAATTTCAACCGGTGGAGTCCAGCTCTGTAGAGTACGCCACCCCGGGAGCTAACTCCTTCCTTCTCCCTGCCAATACTGAAAACTCTTACTGGGATCCCAATGCCATCTCTGAATGGTCAATGAGTATCCATACAGCACACACCTCAGAAATAGTCAAGGAGAAAGTTGTCCCGGTGAAGGAAAACAAGGACGAAAAAGATAAGAGAAACCAGAAGAGAAAGGCTAGGAAGGAACCTAGAAGATCAGAAAGAGAGAAGGAGGTTAGAAATCTTGTGCATCTATCCTGCCTTGAGCTTGACATCTCCCATGGCTGCATGCTGCAAAACCTTGCCTGGCGGTCTGGCATGACCGAGCTCTTCTGTGGTGCATGACTGCATGGCGGGCTTTGCGCTGGGTGCTCTGCATCAAGTTTCCTGCCCTGTATGCGCTCTCCGAAAATCTAACTGGGAAAACAAGTTAATTTAAAAAAAAAGGCCCGAGGCCTCGAAACTTCCCTTCTGGAAGCTCCAGTTTAAGAAGCAGAAAATTAGTTGCAAATGAACAATAACCCAGGGTTCATAATAATTTCTAGCTGAATGTAAATATGCAAAGTGGTTTATTCCTGTATTCCCATTTCAGTCTCATTTAAGATGTAATTCGTTTCTTTCATGATTATTTTTTCATGTCCTGATCACTTCTGCTGGTCATGCATCATCATTTATCGTTCAGAGTAAAGTTGTTCTTACTATGTATCACGATGACTGCCTTTCTTTAGCAAAGGAGGGGGAGAGCAGCACAGTGACACTGAGAAACACTAGGACACATTCAGTTGCCTTTGTGTACAGCTGCTTCAGGATATCCATGTACGCTTGTATGCTCCTGCGAGTATTTAACACTTGGTTATATTATAACTTCAAAATATTTTGAACTTTCTACCGTGAATTTAGTGGTTTGATTTCATAGTAGAGGACTTTGCAAGTGCCGACCAGCACTTTGTATTGGGGATTGAAGGCATGAGTTTTTGCTGGTTATTTTGGTGCAATTCCCCTGTAGCAGGACAGTTTGTTTGGTGATTTCTGCGAACATGGAAAGACAGTGAGGAGGCAAAGTGTGACACTGGAGAGGAGCTTTAAAGGAGACTGTACAACTGATGGATGCTCTAGAGAAGAGGAGTGTGCAGGAAAACAAAATATGGTGGTTATAGTATTTTTTAAATCAGAGAAAGGAAAAAGTAACATGTATTACAAACTAGGGTAAACCAAATCTCGTTAAATTTGGGCAATAGAGTCTATAATAGAGACTCCAATAACCCAGGAGAGCTGGCAGAAGTACTAATATCTACCTGAAACCCTTTTGGAAGTTGCTTGTGCTGTTTCCTTTCCCTTGGGGTGAACTTCAGATGTAAAAAAGATGCCTATCCAGTTGGTAGGTACCTGGTCCCAGTGGTTGCATCCACTGCTTTAAGTCAGTCAGCAAATGAAGAAACTCAAAGAGGTAATTGCGAACACCAGGACACTGAGCAAGCGCCACCAGCCTAGCCAACACAGAAGTGCTAAAGGAAAGGGGTAATGCCAAGATCTATGGAGAAGGTTAAGATTTAAGTATCTGCCTTTCTTCAGGACTCCCAGCCCGTAGCCCTCTCTGAAAGCAGGTATTTAAGTCGTAAAGAGCATGGCTTCACTCTTTGGAAACATGCCTGTTGGTTCTCGGCCTTGCTGTGCAATAGCCCCATTACAGGCAGAGCACGCAGGTGTGCAGTCCCTCATCCTCTGCACGAGGGGATGCAGACTTCATCCCGGTCTCCTACCAGCATCTCCCTCTCTCTAGCCCAGTGAATACGGATGTTTTTCTTAAAGATGGAACCCTTTCAACACAGCAGCACTCTCATGGCAAGACAAGCTGGACGAGTACCGTAATCTCTGGGCTGCTGCAGAAAAGCCAGCAGTCACCTCCTTCGCTGACCTTGTTTCAAAGGGTGGTGGACGTATCTGCAACTTGCGTGGAGCTTCTTCCAGCAAGTGTGCAACGAGGGCGCTGACAGAGCGAGAGAGAGGAGGGGAGACGGCTGCACTGGGGGCTGCAGCAGTGCTGGGTGTGTGCTACGCGACGACCTCCCCGATGCCACCATGACTGTGGTGCCCTGTGGCGGCGTGCCAGCCAAGGTGTCCGGGCCATTGGAGTGGAAACGGCCGAGTTTGAGTTGCTTTCAGGGCTAGGCAGCAGCTGAGGAAGGGGATTTAAGACACACCGTTGTAGACTTAAGTGCCTTACTTCTACCAAGCCTCGCTTAAGCACCTAAGTGTCTTTTTGGTTTCGGGCCCATGTCTGCATTTAGGCAGACTCTGTTGTTTCTGTCAAGGTCACATTTGTGTGACACAGCACTGGAGTTATCTCTCTTCATTGCTACTAATCTGCAGTCTGTTCCTAAGGCATAAATCACTTACAAATAGGATCGTAAATTGTGCCCCACATAATAATCTGGGCAGTTAATACGCATTTACCGGTGCAATTTCTCTCTGAGCCTCTGGAACAGCCCTATAATGTCTTGCTAAAGGCAGAACTCCGGTGAGTGCTTTCAGAGACAGTTATTTTAGCAATTAATAAAAAGATACGTGAGTCAGTGATTACACTGTCTGAAAATTCACACTGTGAAAAAAATATAACTCATCTGTTTAATCTGACTCCATAAGAGGCAAGATAGGGGTTTGCTCCTCTGCTAATGGGGAGGCAAGACAGGTTAGAAACGCAGCGGTGCAGGCAGTGTTACTTATAGGTGGGCTACGCCATCTGTGGCTGGGTCTCTCAGTGACTCACGCACAGAGGCCATCGCAATCTGGTGGTTCAGCTTCCACAGCACCTTAAGCAGTTTAAGGTTAATGTGTGTGCTGAGGCCCAAGGGAATGGTCGACCAGGTCCTGCCCTGCTGGCTGAAGGGTCTGGGGGTGGTAGGGACCTTCACCAGGACATTGCTACCTTCTACTCTTCACTGGGAGGTGCCTCAGTCCAGGTGAGGCAGGGTTTGAGATATCCTTTGACACTCCCTGTTATGTGGATGAGGTATTTATTTACCTGGTGCTGGCTGGACCTTACTCTTAGATGCTTGGCTCTCCCCAACCCAAAGCCCACACCTTGGGTAGGAGGCACCTGAGCCTGCCATTTGCGGGACTTGTGTTCCTTCACCTACCTGGGCTTCCATTTTGGGGACCAGAATATGGTATGAGACAAAGCCCGGGCATGGCTGAAGCCGTCCCAGTGCCATTCTGCAGCCCCGGTGAATGGCCCCCCAGCACATGGGCTGGGCTCCCCAAGAGAGACCTGCTCCTGCAGCAGTGAGGTGTGCTTCCCACTTTCCAAATATGTGTTTGTTTTTAATTTAACTGAGATGCCATTAGAAGTAGCTGTCATATCTACAAACCCCAAAAAGCTGAATGGCCTTTGACCTCACTGCAGTTACTGTAATGGGGTTGGGCTAACGACGAGAACAGCCTTGATTTAAACTGGCCCAGCGAGAAGATCCTTAATTACAAATTAAATCCAATACAATCCATTCCTACCCCCAATTTGGTCTTCTCCATGATCCATTTTCCAGACTGTAAAGAAGTAGAAACCAACCATTCATTGTTCAAGCTCCATCCATCTCAATGGCAGATGTCATCTTGTTTTAGTCTTTATTATAATATCTTCTGTAGTTTTGCTGGTGCAGCAATACCAGTTGACAGGGATAGGTTGATGGATTACTTTCCGCTTCATGGTAGTCAGATAAAATGACCTTTGCACTGTCCACATTACCCATTGCTGCAGTAGCAGCAGCAGCTGTGCCAGTCACCAGTACCATGCACTATCGAAAGAGGGTGTTAAGTTCTTCCCCAGCTTGTTAGCAAGCAGATTTCTGTGCAGTAATAATTACTGGAAACTATCCGACACTTGGCACTTGTGAGATGGTATATTTTGGACATTTTCCATAACATTTTTGTTATCTTTAAATTTGGAATAAATACGCAAGTTCAGAGAACTTGCAGTGCTGTCAGTTTTCCAATACTTCATGTTTTTCTGAAAGTCCCAGTTCCTGGAACCATTATTGTCTTTGTTCAAAATCTCTTAAAGTACATTTCCAGTCTTATAGGGACAAGAACAAAAGTAAGAATATGTGACCTCTAGAGACAAAACATAGATGGCAAATTGAAAAAAAAAAAAGCCCTCCACACAATTTTTTAAAATCAACTTCATGATTATAAGCCAATTTAATGATTTACTGGTGGTGGCAGATGGCATTACAAGGCTTACTGACAGGTTGCGGTTGGCAATGCTCATTTTTCACTTATGGATTAATAACTATTTTGGTATCATTAGCACAAAAGAACCCCACCAAGAGCAGTTTTTAAGTCAGCTGCTAATTGCCTTTGAGAACAAATTATTCAAATTATCGGTTATCTAAAGACTTGTAGACTGTAGGACAGAAAATACAGAAATTTCTCTAGTTTTAGTATTTGATATAATGTGGTATTATCTGATAAGGATTTGTAGCAGAGAAATTTTGTATCTATTTAGGACTAGCTTCCTGCAAGCTTTTTTTCCTCAGGATACACTGCCTATCTCTGCCCAGCATGTGTTTTTGGTGACCATTATTTAGATAAGCAGAAGTGGATTGGATTCCCACTCTGTTTATTCATCCCCCAAAAAGGCTGTGTGCAGCTTTGAAGCTAGTCTTTGTGCCTGACTCAGGCTGTGCTTCAGCATTGCAGGTTCAAAGCAACTTCAAAGGAAAGCCAAGACCAGTTTTTGTGGCAGCAGTGGAGCTACTGCAGCTCATTTTCCCATCAGTCGGTGTCTTACATCCCTACACCTACACGCTGCTGCATAAATCCTTCTATTCCCCCTCTTTTATCACGGTCTCACATATGCACATAAAAATATATAGATAACCCCCAATGGGCAGGGCCAGTAGTTTGTGTCTCCCTAGTCTTCAGTTTCTGGAAGGCTCGTAGAAAATTAATCTTGGGATCTCTAGCTCAGCAAATGAGTTCAGCAGTTGTTAGAGGGGAGATAGATGGGCAGTCAGACAAGGTGACCGCATCAGCATAATTTCTTTTGGAAGCTTGGCCGTAAAGGAAATAAACTGATGTAAGAAACTTGCTTGTTACTGCTACGTGGCAGGTCAATGAGAAATGAAAGTCGTTTGGACCTCAAGATCGCTCAATTGCTTGAGTGAAATAAGTTGATGGTCTTGCAGTTGTGGTCCTCGTCATAAAATTCCCTCCACTCTTAGCACTAATTGGTAAATTCATCAGAGGTGCTGAAGAGACCGATCTCATCTCATGCTCCTTATCCTAAGCAGGGCTGATGGAGCAATCAGAGCCAAAACAGGAGAGCTTCATCCAGTTAGTGTAAGTACTGGAGGATCATTATGATGAATTATGACAGCCTATAATTCCTTTTAGTTCCCTACAGATACTGTTGATTATTAGACATGTAGTGTCAAATGTGTTAGATTCACTGCCTTCTAATACTACCATATTTTTAGAACGCTTCAGCGCTGTATATGGGATTGTGATGACTTGCAAACTTTTATAAACAGTTGGTTTGTAGCTGATTCTTTCAATAACTTCATTAATCTTGGAAACTTTAATGATAGTTGTTTATGGGGACTGTTTTCAAAGGCAGTACATGTGTTGAAGATGCAGCCCCTGTGTGTGTGGATATGCATTTGCGTTGAGTCAAAATGAGATGGGAATGGTCCTGATTAGAGATTTGCTTCTTTTTGCAGGGTGATCAGACAGCATTGCACCGGGCTGCTGTCGTAGGGAATACCGATGTTATAGCAAGTCTTATTCAAGAGGGGTGTGCTTTGGACAGACAAGACAAGGTAACAGGCAAAAGCAAAGCCCTGTGGGATGGCAGCCTTGCCAACCAATATTAAGGTCTCAGAGAGAAAGTTATGGTTTATCCTCCTGAGTAAGTATCTGATGCTTTGAAAGTAATTGGAACAGTTACATTGAAAAAAAGCTGTACCATCTCTTTAATATAAATTACTGATTTAGTTTTTTTTTTATATTAGGCTGATAGTTTTTGATTTAAGAGTCTGGTCTCAGCTCATTAAAGGAGGAATTAAAGAAATGTACAACCATACTATGCCCTACGCAAAACACTGCACAGTTTACCTTCATTATCCCAGAAACTGAGAATCCCAGGCTGTAAACTTATTTAGGGACTAAATATAACTAATTCCAAGTTCCAAACAAAAGAAACAACAATATTTTTAGCCTCTTCAAAAAATAAAATAGAAAATAAGATAGAAGGAAAGGAAAATGTTTTATTTTTTAAGTGACCAGGTGGGGCGTACAGCTGCTGCATTCTGAATGTAACATTACTCTGCATGTGGACACAGCACACTAACCTTCTTCTCTTGTATGTGCGCTCTTCAGGATGGGAACACTGCTCTTCATGAAGCTTGTTGGCATGGATTCAGTCAGTCTGCCAAAGTGCTGGTTAAAGCAGGAGCCAACGTTCTTGCCAAGAACAAGGTGAGACCCATGCAGGAGGAGCTTTCAGTTCTGGTGTAACGTGGCTGATTCTCAGCACTGGAGATTTCTGGCCACGGCATTTCTCAGCAGGTGGGGGACCAGTTCCTGGTGGGATTTTTTTCTTCTTTTTTCGCATTTATTAAGCCTGGATGGTTCCTCCACAGGCATTAGGAAATTCATATTTTGACAGCTGATGCAGGAGGGACTCCATAGCGCATTGCATGATACATTAATTATGGCTGAGGAGCACTGCAATTCCTGTGGAAATCTCCACGGTGCTCCAATTTATACTGAGCAGATTCATTGTGATTGGTGTGATTTAAAATGAAAATGAATTATACTAATAGGAAAATGGCATTCAAAATCCTTTTTTTTTTTTCCCCCAGAAATTAAACAGCCAAATTAATGTAAGCCACAGAAGGGAAAAAAGAAGTGTATCTTTTATTAGAAAGTTCTTCCTAATACATGACTGTAGGCTCTTACCAAAATCTTGTAATGAACCTGCATTATCTTCCTTTTGGTATTTATAATACCTTGAGAGCAGTTTAGAGGAAAGAATAACAAAACAAGGGGTTTAAGTTCCACTCTAATTGTAATGCCTGTGGGAGACTTGTCTTCAATTCACTAATTCAAAAGTTAATGGAATAGTCTAGGAAATGGCGGTAGCAGCCTACGGTGCGAGCTGAGTTAGGGTTTGGACCGCTGTGCCGATGGGTCGGTCAGATCACACGGTTAGCACCGTGTCCTTCGTTACAGGCAAGAGAGCTTTGGAATTGCTCTATGGGATCTCTGAGCATTTTTGGTAAACATTGTCTCTAAACCGACAACTGAAAGGGGCTAGCAAAGAAAGGGGAAGAAGGAAGACAGGTGGCCAAAGTCCAAGATTTGGAGTAAAAAGGCACATTGCCTGGGCGTAGTGTTTCTGTATGTGCATGTGTGCATATATGCAATATATATGCATATGTTTGTACGATTGTAGTCACTTTGTGGTCTGTAGTTACCTCATCTTTGATCTTATTTTATACGTATTCCTTCTTTTGTATTGTTCCAACTTCCAATTTCTGTTTTCTGTAATTATTTTTTGCTGTAATGTTCACCTAGATGTGTATCAGAGGTACTTTAGACAACTTCCCATGCTTACACGTAACAGACAATAGTGCTTGACTTTATAGTCCTTGTGAACTATTGTACTCCATATGGCCGTGTATATGCACACACTTACGTACAAAGGTGTGGGCTTAAGATGCAAGTCTGGTTACCCTGCAGGCTTGGATGTCTCTTGGTATTAGAGGATTTAGCTTACAATACAGTGTATGTCAACTATTTGGAGACAACCTCTCTTGGAAAGTATGTGCACAGAGTAGCTCAGCAAGGTTGATGTCTGAAATATGACTGACAGACTTTAATACTGCATGAGCAGCTCCTGCACTGGTCTTTGATGTCTTACCCGCACAATCCTCTCCCTTTGCATTTCACCGTTTGGGTGTTTTTTAATGGACAGGATCTTTTCTCAGGAGCTGCTGAAAAATGTGGAAATTGTGCACGCTTGCACACATGCACGTGCTTTTACCCCTTTTGCTTTCAAGAGAAATGAAGAGCTTAATTCTGCTTAATCCCAAAATGGTTTTTCTGGTCTCTCAACTTTTTATGTTACTGACAAGAAGGCATAATCTTTCTGACAGCTTTTCTGGCAGCCAGGGCTGAGTGCCATGTGCAGGAGCACCCTACGGGCTGTTGACTTACACCTGGGTATTGTGCAATTTTTGGCTGGATGGGACAGATACGGGCTTCTAGATTTGCCAAACCCTGCTAAGCAGCAGAAGGTGGGAGGGATTTGACTCTGTGTTTTCTGTAACTCCTGGTTAATATCTCCTGGGACTGTTTGGGGATGCACTTCTTGCAGCACAGCACCTTGTGCACGGTATATAAAAGAGCAATGCAGTTGAAAATGGCTTCTGTATTAAGTGAAATGCAGAGGCCAGACAGGACACCTGGGATTTTAAAGGCAAGTCAGGCAGGCATTTGAGGAATGGGACAACATGTAGGTAAACCACCTGGGTAGCCGTATTCCTCCTGTGCAGCAATCACCCTGGAGATGCAGTTTATTTCCACTCAAGTTGGCTTAATAAAAACTTCCACTGTCATAGATCATCCTGTGAGATCAGTTGTAGCCTTCTTTTTAGACCCTCCATCAGTCTGTACGTTTCAGTGAAGATTCAGTAGACCAGTGAAGACCCCCAGATCGGTACAACTCGGACCCACTCTCCCTCTCACAGAAGCTGGTGAGAGATTTGTCACCCCATGGGAGACGAGCCAGATGAGCCTGCTCTGTGAGCCCTGACCCCAGGCACCAGCACCATGACTTCTCCCAGCATCGAGGTCTTCGCCCATCACCTACTGCACAGGACCTTTCTGCCTTCCCACCAGGGCCGACCTTCCAAACAGCAAACGATAAAGACATTGCAGAGGCTTTTCAGAGATAAACCCAGGAGGGAAAAAATTGACTCTCACATGCAGTTTAGCTGAGAAAGAAAATGTTCATGTCTGCCACAGCTTAGAGACTACATTCAGGCCTGAAATAGTCTGAAACGAGGAACTGAAAACCTAAGACCACATCTAAGAGTTGGCCTTCTGTAATTCAAACCCTGCAGCTTTGATCTGTGTCTTGAAAGCACGAGGGACAAATTAAAGGACATAATCAAGGTGAACAGGCAGCCTAGTAAGCATGGGAAACCTTTTTACCTGAGCTGATTTCATTTCTGGCTCCCAAGAGCCAAAAACCCCAAACGTTTTCAGACCAACAAAAGCCAAATGCTGTCAGAAAAACCTCTCAGACCAATAAAATCCTTCACAGTGTTAGAAAGATAAGCAAACTCTTCTTCGATTTCTGTCCATAAAAACTGCATGTTTGCTTCTTTCAGGAACCTTAGCATGTGATTCTCTGGGGTTTGGGTGTCTTTTTTTTCCCCTTCTCATCTTGTCTGGAGACTGGTGTGCTTTCTGAACGTTGAAGCTTCCCGATAGCCTGAAACCTACATCCTGCCCTGTGAGAGCACCTACAGACCCAGCCAGACTTGGAGCTGGTTTGTGTTACAGTCGTAAAGAAACAGAATTCGTCGTGACCCTCGTCTGCCTAACACCCTGCAGCAGTCGCGCCCGGCTTTGCTTGAGATCGGAGATGCCGTGCCATGGCAGCGTGTTTCTTTGTGTGTGTGCATGGGGAAAACCCAAAACACAAGAATTATATTTCTTTAAATGAAATACTTGATAGTACTGTTTGATATTAATGAACCAGACAGTTTCTGGAGTCTTTGCTTCCTGCAAACAGACTTGAGCAATGCAGATATCGTTAGACTGCCTTTACTATATCCCAGATAAATAATTTCCAGGATGGAGAGGGTATTTCAGTCTCCAGGTTCGTTCAGCTCATACATTCGGGAAAATAACAGCGACAGTTTCCCACCCCTGGGTGGATCTTCTTGTGGGAAGACCTGTGAGGTTTTATTTTTTAATGCTTGCGTCCAATTTCTAAATACGGCTTTTATATTTTCCTGTATTTCTCTAAGGCAGGTAACACACCTCTTCACCTGGCTTGCCAGAATAGCCATTCCCAGAGTACTCGTGTTTTATTACTTGGAGGATCTCGAGCAGACCTCAAAAATAATGTGAGTTTTGAAAAGAACGTGTTCATTTTTGTGTGCCTTTGTTTTAGCTATATGCTTTAACTTGTAGAAATACTCAGAAATGCTTTAAGCTGTGATTTTTATTATAAATGCTATTGAAAAAACCCACTAACAAACCATTGTATACATCATGTACAAGAATGCTTTTGATAGGACTGAGCGATGCAACTACTTGTACCCATCTCTTGAGTGGGGATGGAAGGAGCCAAAGGGGGTTTGGCTGTTGCACAGACCGAGGCAGCTGGTCCTTTGTTGCTTTTTGTGGTCCTGATGGCCTGATGCATACACTGCTGTGCAATTCTGCAAAAGGGCTCCTCTCTCAGAAAGATGGAAATCTTAAATGGGTTTTGTGCCAGAGCAGGGAAAACCTTCAGACCTGCCCTCACTGAGACAGATAATATATACTGTGTCAGTCTGTCAAATGAGGTGGATTCAAGGTGACTTCAATTTTAGACAGCTGTCCTCCTATTTTGTAATGATTCTGGCATGACAAAGGAAAAAAAAATCTACAAAAGGAAGCCAGATGTTTTTGTCCCTGCTCGATAACAAGGTGGGCAGAGGCACACAGAAATGGAAACCCGTGGGGCTCTGCTCCCAGTCCCAGCTGCGCATGTGCCACCCCTCATGGGGATGCTGCTCTGGCCCCCACTGCCCATGTTTTCTTCATTATGTGCAACACCGAGTCGAGTTTCCAAATCACATTGGTTTGCAGTTCAGAAGAACAGATTTAACGTAAAACTGTAAATCAAGTTTTGTAGTGCAGTAAACCAGCATTTTATAATTCCAGTATTTCCCATCAGTGGTTAAAGAATTCATACCCCCACCTTGCCTGACCCCAGCTCTTGCTAAACCTTCCCACCCATGATAGTAGATTTTGTACCGCAGAGAAGACAGCATTGCTATTCAGTGGAGGTGCGTGGCATTTACTGCTCTTTTTGGTTTAATAGGATTACTTCATCCCTGAACACCATGACAAGTGCAAGCTTTCTTACTGCGATTACATGCTTAGAGCTTTGTTTCTGTTTGCAGGCAGGAGATACCTGTCTGCATGTGGCTGCTCGTTATAATCACTTGCCCATCGTTAGGGTGCTGCTCAGTGCTTTCTGTTCTGTCCATGAAAAGAACCAGGTCAGTGCATGAACTTCATTGCGACTCTGCGCCCTTTGCATACGGCTAGTTGTTGGCAAGAGGGATTCCTACCCAAGGAATCCCACTTCACTCTGTGTTTCACTGTACTACCAAGTGCCTGAGCTTTTAAGAATAGCCTTAAAGTAATGGCGTCTCAGTGGTTTATTACTTTGCCATCGCATTTGCATCATTTCTTTAAAGCATTGCCTGTTTATGAGGTTCTGCAGTTATATGTTGGTGTAGAAAGGGAGTTTGGGACAGGAGTAGTAGTAGGGGTAGGGGTTGGCACTCCTGAGTCCTTACCAGTCTGTGCAGAATGGGACTGGGCAAGAGATTCAGTCATTTTATGGGGTCCCATTTTCTCCTCTGTAACTAGGTTTTAATGATCCTATGGCCATTACAGAGACATTGTGAAGCAGAACTCACTAATGTTCAGATGTTACAAAAGTGTGAATTTCTCTGGAATACTTTTCTTTGCTGCATTTTGCAGTAGTGGGAATTAAAAAGATACAAAAGTGAAGAAAAAGTATGCTTTAAATTCAAAGTAATGATCAGTCTAACCTAGGATTAATCATCCATAGTTGGTTTATAGGGAAGTAATTGATTGCTGTATGTATAGCATAGCCTAACTGGGTGGTAGAAGGGAATGGATTTAGTACATTAAAATGTGTTAAATCTGCTAAATAAACAGATTATGTGGTGCTTAACCGCATTGTCTCATGTCCCTGGGAAATTTTCTATGTGTAGTTGAAGATCATAAAAATGTTTTCTGATTTGTACATTTAATCTTGTTTCTTAGATAGGAGATATTACAGCAAACAAGGTGGGTTTCAGCATGTTAAATTTACTATGTAATTTTATTTGGAAATGAGTTTTTTGACTTGCAAAATGAGCTACTGAATATTAAGATCAACTGGTGTGAACCTGGCCCAGAGAGACACCACTTTCCTTCATTCCCCAGCACTACCCGAAGTTGTTCCATATTTGCACATATAATGGTTTTATTTATGAACATTCCTCATCCAAGTGAGCAACAAGCAATAGATTTCCACTACACTCAAGGAGATCTAATTTTCTGAAGGCAAAATGTAAGGCAAAGGGGACAGGAGGGCATTATATGCACGTGTCTGGTCTCCCTTGAACAGCTGCTGGCTCTGTTACCGGCGCCCGAATCTGATCACAGCCATCTTCACCTCACTGCACCGGGACAAGGGCAGGGCAGTGTGTTAGTGCTGGACCCGGATCACCTGCTGGCCTTGGTCCAAAAATTGTTTTTCTCGAGGAATCTCATGAAGAGAACACCAGCAATCTCACTGCTGGTACTTATCTGATTATTTTTGAGTAATGTGATACATGGCCACCTGCGCACCAAGTAATCAAACCTGCAAAAAGAAAAAGAGAAGGTTGTGGTGGGAAAACCCGTTCTGCCCTCAGATGTCGTATCCGTTTGCTGGTGGTCTCTGGGCTCTCTCCAAGCTGTGTCATGTGTCACTCGGTTTAGTTAAACCAGATCACCAGTGCCCCAGCTGCATTTCTCAAAACCAGGCTGAAGTAGGTCCTTGCCCTGAAGTAGCTCCTTGCCTGCTCCTGTCCCCTTCTCCCCAGCTCTGCTTTTTTTATTGACCAGGCCTTATTGAAGCTTAGTTGTTGCATCAGTAAGTGTAGGTCTTTTGATCTCTGAGCATCTTTTAGGAAGGTGTGATTTCTGCGCGGTGAGACCGAAGGACGTGTGTTACACGGTTGCTTTCTGCTTTGTAACTTGCAGGCAGGAGATACTGCACTCCATGTAGCTGCTGCTTTAAATCACAGGAAGGTGGTTAAGCTGTTGCTGGAGGCAGGGGCTGATGCATCCGTTGTCAACAATGTAAGTAGGACATGGAGTTTCTTTGGTATTTTGTATGAGAATCATAGAATCATAGAATGGTTTGGGTTGGGAGGGACCTTAAAGATCATCTAGTTCCAACTGCCATGGGCAGGGACACCTTCCACTAGAGCAGGTTGTGCAAAGCCCCGTCCAGCCTGGCCTTGAACACTTCCAGGGATGGGGCATCCACAACTTCTCTGGGCAACCTGTTCCAGTGCCTCACCACCCTCATAATGAAGAATTTCTTCCTTATATCTAACCTAAATCTACCTTCTTTCAGTTTAAAACTGCTACCCCTCGTCCTATCACTACACTGCCAGATAAAGAGTCCCTCCCCATCTCTTCTGTAGGCCCCCTTTAAGTACTGGAAGACCGCTATAAGGTCTCCCCGGAGCCTTGTCTTCTCCAGGCTAAACAACCCCAACTCTCTCTCTCTCTTAATGCAGACTCTCTTCAACACTCTCTCTAGTGCTTGTATAAAGTGTTGGGTGTTAGAGTTGAATTAAATCTGGGTAAATGAAAGCAATTAGTCACTATGCTCTTGTGCACAGAGCATGTGCTAACCTCGGGTGGAGAAATTCCACATTTCCGGCAGCTTGAGTTTTGAAGGAAACGCCATTTTCTTTTTCCTCTCAGGCAGGTCAGACCCCTCTAGAGGTTGCCAGACAGCACAATAACCCTGAGGTTGCGCTCCTCCTCACTAAAGCATCACAGGTACGTTACAAATCTCTTCCCAACACACACATACGCATGGAGCTGAGGCCAGTTAACCTAGAAGGGCCAGATCCTCTGGTCCTTAACCTTCTGCTGTGAAAGGTGCCTACGTTTCTGTTGGCATTGTGTGCTAGCCTCAGGTCTATTGACGTGGAGCCTTTCAGCTCCCAAGCCCAGCAAAGTGTGCAGATTAAGCCTCAGTATTAAGTGCTGGCAGAGGTTCTAGCTGTCCTGACTGGCAGAGGATGGAGCAGCCAGAGGCACTTGTTCCCTGCGGTGGCCCTGTACCCAAAAGCTCCCAGGCTGTGTCCTCTGCTGCCTGCCTCAGACTTCTCCCACCCCCAAGATAGTTGCTCACACTGGAAGATGCTTTCAAATGGGGACAAAATCTCCTGTTTGTATTCTGCTGCTGTATGTGAAATGCTACAATGCTCTTGTATTGGAAGGCATGTAGGAGGGCTCTGTATTCTGGTATGAGACCAGGTGCGATCCCTGCCCTGCTCCTCCTTGTCACCTCTGCGTGAGAAGGGCTGGGCTGGGCTGGGCTTGGCTTGGCTTGGCAACCAGCCTGGGGACACGGGAGGACACAGGAGGAGGCTCTCACCCCTCCAAGGGACAGGACTTAGCTGTGAAAACACACCACCACTGAGCTATGAACACCCACATTGCTTGGCCCATCAGCATCCACCTGGCAGTGCACTTTCTTTTGTGTATTGCCTTTTAGTAGAGGTGAAAAAGGTCTGCTCTATGGCTTGGCTTCTGTGGTAGGAAAGAGCGTGACATCACTGAGTAACAGTGTGGTCTGCCTTCAGGTCTCACGCTTTAACCGTGGAAGAAGCCTGAGGAAGAAGAGAGAGAGGCTGAAGGAGGAAAGGCGAGCCCAGTCGGTACCACGGGATGAAGTGGTACAGAGCAAGGTACAGCCTGGCATTACCACCTACATCTGCTGCAAGGAGGGAGCGTAAATAAAACCCATCAAGACTAAATCTATTTGGAGCCATCGCTTGTGCATGACCACAGCAGCTGTCGGAGGCAGTCGGTTGTGCTTTGCTGCTAAAGAGTTACCCACTCTTGCAGTGCAGTGCAGCGCAGCTTAAAACTGGGAAATTGAAGAAAAGGCACCTTTTCCCCATCTCTGGAACTGCTCTGAACTCCCTGTCTTTGCTTCAAGCAGGGCAGCGTCTCAGCTGCTGACGACACACCGAGCAGTGACCAGCCACCGCAGAGAAAGAGCGATCTGAAGGATGAACCCCGGTCAACCTCACCAGATCCCAAAGGGAAGAAGAGCAAAAAGAAAAAGCCAAAGGAAAAGGTATCAGTAGATTTAAAACAGCAGAGAGAGAAGGGATAGTTGTTGAGCAATAGTACGGGTGTCCCTTTGGCGTGTCAGTGAGTCAGGGCAGCAGTCCCGCCGTGCTCACGGGGCAGAGATATTCTTCAGACAAAACTGATTTCTGGTGGGAAAGTTCTGCTGTTGAGGGTCACACGAACCAGATTTGTGCGGAAATGTGGTTATTGTGCTGACAGACACCAAGGTTGTGGCCAGCCATTGCAGCTGGATTGGTGTTTTAATCAGGTTTTTGATGTAATTGTCACAACGGATTTGTCCTGTTCCCACTAGGAATAGTTTACCAGGGGGCTCATAAATAGGGAGAACGTTGTGTCTATTTTAATGCAGGTTTCAGCACTCTCAGACCCCATCTCCCCAGCTGATCAGCAGACACTCCCTCGGCCCCAGCAAAACGTGCCTAAGCGCAGGAGTAAACATCACTGCTCCTCTCCACCCCCTCCCCACGAGGTCCGAGCCTACCAGCTGTACACGCTCTACCGAGGAAAGGATGGGAAGGTGATGCAGGTGAGCCTGCGGGGGCCCTCGTCAGGGGAGACCCAGGGAGCAGCACTTGGAGTTGGGGCACAGTTAGCCAACGGACAGAAAATGTGCTCGATTAACTGCACTCTCAGGGGTACGAAATCATGACTGTGGATTTGTTTTCCTTGTTTGGGCTTCAGCTGCATTTTGGCCTGAAGTCTGGTAAACAATAAGCTGGTTTCGTGTGTGTTAAAGACGACATACTTAACTAGTTTTGATCTACAAAGTATTTCCTTTTTGGAGATAAGAGGTGAACAGTGATGGGAAATGACACTGGAACTTTTATGATCCACTTAAAAATATTAAGATTTCCGACAGGAAATGCAAAGAGCTTTTCCAAGGAAAATTAATGAGAGCAGTGTGTGAGCACTGAAGTTTACTACCTTGGTTAAACCAAGAGCTTGAGTATGCTCGATACATTCTGTTTCAATTCTGTTTATTGCAACATGTCTTTTGGGATTCTAGGATTACTGGAGGCAAGAGCTGTACAGAAATTGGTTCACAAATAAACCTGGAGTTACCAGCTCATGTGCATTTATTCCAGTTTAGAGACTGGCATGGCGAATGGAGTTAAATCCAGTTGGTGG